ACCTACTTCCTCCTCTGCAAAAATTGCGAGGCTGTGGCCACATGCCACAATCCAGTCTAAAGACCATAAGCAAATAACACCCTGTTGTTCACTAGTCATGATTCTCCAGACTTCTGGTCACTCAATCTTGCCCCCCTAAAGCTAGTGGCACAGAAGCCAGCTGTAGCCTGTAACTCTCTTGTGAGGACAAGCAGTTTGGATCCTTTCTTTGGCTTTTTAAAAAATAATGAAACAAGGGATGACATGTTTCTCTTGCTGGGAGCCTCCTTCTCTTTCACTCAAACCTACTTCCCCCAACTTGAACTCCCATATACAAGTTTAGGGCAGTCGTCACAGATTCTGACCTTGGAAAAGGGGTATTGTAGAATGCCCTGATTCTGCATTCCTCAGCCATAGAAAAAGGCACATTTCCCTCCTAAGAATGAGCCAGCAGAAATAATCAGAATATCCTCATGGTATCAATCAACTGACTGAAAATCAGTAAGAAAGTTAAACAAAGAACATTCACAGCCTTTAAAAAAACAGCTAAAGGTTATTCTATACTTAGTTAAACAATCTGCAGGTTTGGAGGTATCCTGTATTCTTGCATGTAGTGGAGAGCACATCTATTATATCTGTCACTTCATCCACTGCTCCACTGGGCAGTAAAGGGTTTAGAGGAGACTATATAACCATTTGCATTTTTAAAAGAAAAATGCCTCATCTTTAAACATATTCAGCCTTCAAAATTCATACATGCCACTTGTCTATTATAAAACAGAATAATTCCTTGAGAGATCATGAGGGATGTCTTCATTGATTAAAAGAATTACAAAATCAATTGATGATGCCATTAACACTCAAGATGCATATAAAGCAACGTTTAGTTAGAGCTAACATGGGACAGCAAGAGAGGTCAGGATCAATGAACCAATAGAAGTGAGAGGACTGACACTTCCAGTGTCTGGTGAGGCACAGAAGCCTCACTGCACAACTTTATGTGTCGTGTTTTTTGTTTGTGTAATTTCCCCCACCCCAGCTTGTTATGGCTGATTCTTTTAGTACACAGTAGCATAATATTTAAAATGCCAGCTAGACTAGGCAGATATAAGCATCATTGTAGGGTGTGAAACACTCAGTGGATTTTTAATTCCCCCGGTTCCATTCAATTGAAAAATTTTGTTAGGACAGTAGTTGCTATTAAAAACAACATTTGTCATAGAGACATAGGACTGGAAGGGACCTCCTGAGTCCTTGAGTCCAGTCCCCTGCTATCACAAGCAATCCTATCCTATAATCCCATTCATAAACAAATCACAATCCACTGCAGGGCTAGCTAGTTTTTTGCCCCTACTACTATTGTAATGCTGTTTCAGAACCTCACTCCTCCGATGGTTAGAAACTTTCTTTTAATTCCTGGCCGAATTTGTTCATGACCAGTTGTACACATTTGTTCATGTGTCAACATTGTCCTTTAGCTTAAATAGTTCGTCTCCCTTCCTGGTGTTTACTGCAGTCACGTATTCATAGAGAGCAATCATATCCCCTTCAATTTGCTAGGCTAGATAAGCCAATTTCTTTTAATCTCCTCCCATAAGACAGGCTCTCCATTCCTGTGATCATCCTAGCAGCTCTTCTCTGCACCTGTTCCAATTTAAATTCATCTTTCCGCAACATAAATGACGAGAACTGTACACAGTATTCTAGATGAGGGCTTACCAGTGCCTTGTACAATGGAATTAATATTTCCCTATCTCTAGTGGAAATACCTCACCTGATACATCCTAGGATTGCATTTACTCCCCTCCCCTCTCCCCCAATTGTGTTATACTGGCTTCCATGTTCTCATTCTATGATTGACTAATACACAAGGTCTCTTTCCTCCTCTCTTGTTTTCAACTGCTGAATCCCCAAGTTATAGCAGATGTTCTTGCTGTTAGTGCCCAAGTGAATGACCTTGCACTTTGTATTCTTAAATTTCATCTGATTTTTATCACTCCAGTCCAACTGGTCATCCAGTTCTCTTTTCATCATAACCATTTCCAATCTTCCCATTAGCCATTTCCTTACACACCTTACAATTTTTGTATTAATCCCCATCTTCTCTCATTTAATTAGCAATTTTCCATGTGGTACTGTATTAAATGGTAAGTCAGAGAGGAGGGCTGCAAGAATTAGGGCAAGGGCCAAAGACAAAGCCAAGGCCGGCAGTGGGAGTGGAGAGGAAACCAGGAAACTATTTTAATTTTCCCCACTGGGCAGAGAAAGGAATTTAGATGATCCACTATCTGATTGATACTAGGATTTTGGCTTCATTCAGAATTTGAAGGAGATATTTGGCACACTGTACAAGCTTCTGACTTTCTTTTGCTTCTCACAAGTAAGTAAGCCCTATGTTCCACTCTGAATCATGAATAACCCCTTCATCTCTCTTCTAGAATTTCCTGTAGCCTAAAAACAATTTTCATTTTTCTCTTTGTAAATTATTAACCAAAACCTGCATGTTACTACAGGGACAAGGAACCGATCGTAGATAGTTTTCATGGCAAGAATTCAAGCTGTTTAGATAGTAACAGCACATCTTGCTATGACAGATTTTGAGAGAGGAGAGAGAGAGAGAGAGAGAAATGTTTATTCATCATCAGGCCATTGACATATGCCAAATATTCACCAATGTACAAAAGGAGTATTGGTCTCCCCTCCATGTATAAATAAACCGCAGTGCTCTCTGAAGCTCTGCAGGCATCAAAAGGAGAAAGGAACCATTTAAAAATATGCCCTAAATGTAGAGATCACCGATGTGCATGCTGCCTGTGTTGGAACTGTTCTCTGTGTTTAAGGTTTTGGACGCTGGGCTGGCCAAGGAAAGGAGGCTTCCGTGTTCTCAACACTTAGGGCTGAGGAGGCAGAATGTAAAGGCAGGACATAGACAAAGATAATTTTAGAGTACAGGCCCTAGGGTGTCATGTCACTTTAGCTGTGCTCCATTTTTGTTAGCTACATTTAATTGTGTGGTGTCATTTTATCCTGGCTCACTGGTAAGATCCGGTCTCTGCTATACGTGGCATGTATAAATGTGCACATACAAACACTCCTCTAGCTGCAGCCTGGTTTCTTGACAGGGTAATCAGAACAGGAGAGCATCATAGAAGATAGTGGACTTGTGCATAAGGCCGCGAAATAGCATTTACATAGCTGCAGCAGAAAGAGTAATTCTCCTCAGAGGAATAAGCTGCCACTGTCACTCTGTAGCCCTAGGAGGTCTGCAGACTTCACAGACCTGGAAGGACTTTCAGGCTGGATAATATCGTTTCATGATCAGGTTAAAAAGTATATAAAAAGTATAAAAGTCTTGAGGTGAATTAGAAAAAGAGGAAAATGTTTTATTATGGATCTTAATTCAAATACATGAGCAGACTACAGAGGTGAAATATTCTCTCAACAGGAGATGCACTTTTGAAGTACAGTAGTGCATTCCAACTTCTTATGCTCCAAAACTCCCCCAGCAAGGATGTTAACGTATGAGCATTATGGACCAGATCAACTGGGGTAAATCAATAGTAGCTCCATTACTTCACCAGAGCTATAGCTGATTTACACAAGCTGAGGATTTGTACCTCTCTCCTCTCAGTCTCTGATCAATCAGAATTGGCCTTTAGAGACAACACTTTCATACACAACAGAGCTTTAGAGGGTGAAAATATTCTCCAAAGTGAGCCTGGAATGAAAAACTATTCATTGTTGCACAATCAGCTGTAGATTGGCCTTTTCAGCTCTAATTTGAACATAGTGAGCACTGAGTGCTTTCAACACTTCATGTCTATCTAGAATTCAACAGCAGCTCAACTACACACCAGAATGCCAGCCCTAGAGGCAAAGTATAAAAGACAACTATGCTCTATCTCAACTGGCTGGGAACGCATCTGGAAATTACACACAGCACTCTTCCAGTCTACATATAGCTTTACCAGTCACTCATTTCAGTTTAAATTTCACTGGGACCTGTTGTTTCCTTCTGACACCTTTGTGCATTCTTCTCGCTTGCCAGCTTGACTTGGCCATTATCTCCCTCAGTACAAGGGCTGACACCGTAGTAACAAGATTAGCACTGTCTGATTAGAGTATAACAACTGTCGACAAAGGATCATTTCACTTGTCAGTGGAATATAATTTAAAACAAAGTGAATAATATATTCAGTAGGATAAAATAAAAATGTTCACTGCACAATATTAATAGATTCTTTTCAAACAGACATGCTATTAAGTGAACCTATTAATTTATTACAAAATTACTTTTCTAAAGCTGGTCCTTCACATTGTACAAGTGATGTACAACCGAAATAAATTAGTACAGGGGGAAAAAAGATGACAGCACACACATCTATCCAGGCATCTCCAGGTTAAATATAGTTCTTCTGACATCTGGAGTGAAAACATATTGTCAGAAGAGGAAAGAGAAGAACTGCACTCTATAAAAGCACTTTTACTAAATCCTTAAATGGACATGTGCATATTTATGTGAGACAAGATCATTCTAAGTAAATTGCTGGGGATTTTGAATTATGGCACATGCCATTTTTCCCAGTTAGATTAGATCACTGGCTGATGTGAGCAATATTTATTTTGACTTAACATAAAATCAAAACAAAGTACTAGGGTTTGACCGTGATCCTATTGAAGCTTGTCATGCTGTCTGGGCTGGCTCACAACTGAGTGTGCCTATCTCAGGGCAGATTGTCAGAAAACAGAGAAGATACCACAATTAGATTTCACCAAGCCAGTGACAAATATGAACTCCTGGATCACCATACCAGTCTTACCATGGAGTTGTAGACAGTCCCCGTAGAATCTCCAGTCTATCTTGCCACCCAGACAAACTGGACTCAGTGATAAAAGGTCATTTAAACCAAAATCACACCACATCAGGTTGTTTCTAGACCCAAGAGACCAGTCATTTCCCCAAACCAATTGGTACTCTAGATCTTATACCAAAGACAACACTGGCAGCCAATTCTATAGTAAACTAACTAAAGGTTTATTAGATAAGAAAAGGATATGAGAGTTATTGAGAGGTTTAAGCAAGTAAAATATATGCACAGGTGAGTCACAGTTTGTAATTCCAGATGGTGGCAGTGATGTAATAAACTGCCAGTTTCCCAAAAGTCTTTTCAGGGTACCCAGATTGTCCCCGGGGACCTCTGCTTTAGATCTGGTACATTTCCCTGTAAGAGTCCAAACAGTCCAGAGATGTAGGATCTTTCTTTGAATCCATACTTATAGCTTCTTCTGACAGAAAACAAGCTTACAGTGTCACTACCCACATGGACTTTTCCTTTGACGACGAGAGTGAGGAATGCATTGTGACCTCCGATCATCACACACAATGACCACTTGATTTGAAATTAGCACTTTTCTGTTAAAGTCCATTATTTAAACAAGGTTTCTTTCTTCTTGTTTGATGGCTTGTTTGTTGGGTTATTTAGTTACAGGTGTATACACAAAGTAAATGTCTGCTCCTACATTATAATGGGATACAGATAAGTGAAAACAATGCAAGTAACATCCCACTAGTTTTCATGAAGTTTAAACACCAAATACACTCTTATATACATTTAACAATCACTTTCATCTATACTAATACACAAGTGAATTGGCCGGGGGGCTCTGACATGAGCTGATACCTGCTCTGCCAGCACCACAAAGGTAATGGGAAAACTACAGTTGACTTTAATGGAGTATTATCAAGGCTCTTAATACTTACTATAAATTACAAAAGGGGGTTTCTAAATATCATGTATTCAGAAAGGAGGATAGGCCAAAGGATTTGAAATCTTAATATTTCTGAGTTGCACTCATCTAGCTCCATGATTCCATGAGGCTTCATTTCCTTTGGAAATAATTTCAATACAAGTTCTGTATGCAGCAGGATGGTAAAATCAAACTCTACATGCTATGCCTATAGGAATTACTTCACTCATTTTTGAAACCATCTTTAATTTAGAATTCTGGTAAGAAGAAAACCGGAATAGGCTAACCTTTAAATGCAAAAATACTAAGCTTTAGAGAGAAATAAAAAGTGCTCAGACTTTGCTTGCAATCTTGGCATTTTCAATGCCAACAAGGCAGAAATTAGCATTTACTTGTTAACCCGTCCACCCCCCTCGCATACTATGATTTCTATAATTTTTAACTATGTCAAAATAATGTAAATGTTTATAATTTGGGGGACCACACAGATGAGCCACATCTGCATCAATTACACCAGCATAAATCTGAGGTAACACCAGTGAAACCAATAGAGTAACTCTGGACTTACACCAGTGCAATTGAGCCAAATTGAGTGGAACGGGGACGGGGGAAGGGGTGGAATGGGGTGGGACCATGGATAGAACAGGGGTGGGGTAGTGGGGGAAGGGGGAGAAGGGGTGGAATGGGGGGCAGGACCACCGGCGGAAGGGGTGGGGCCGGACCATGGTTTCAGTGCTGGGACCCCCCACTTCCTCTGGCTCAGGGCCCCAGGAGACCTTAATCCGCCCGTGATCCTAAGCCCTGTCTGTCTCATGGAGATAGGTGGCTAAGTCAGCCTGCAGGCAGGTGCCTATCTCCTCTAGTGATTCGTGAACCAGGGCAACCTAGACATTCATCCACTAAACTCATATACGGGGCCTGATCTGATAGGTGTGCTCAGAGGCTACCTAACCAGGGCTGTCCAGAGGATTCAGGGGGCCTGGGGCAAAGCAATTTTGGGGGCCCCTTCCATAAAAAAAAGTTGCAATACTATAGAATACTATATTCTCATGGGGGTCCCTGCGGGGCCCAGCGCAAATTGCCCCCCCCACCCCCCTGGGCAGCCTTGTACCTAACTCCAACAAAACAGACAGTGGGGTGGGGAACAGGACTTCCCCTTATTACTGTTAGCTCAGTGGTTAGGGTACTTACCTGTTAAATTCCCCCCTCTGCCTGAGGAGAAGGGATTTGAACAGGAATCTGCCACCTCTACAGTGAGTGCTCTCTCCACTGAGCTGTGAGATATTCTGATATGCATCTCCCTCGTTCTGAACTGTTGACGTTTTTCCACTTGAAATAAATAATTGAATAATTAAATATTAATTGGGCCAAGAGAGTGAAATTCATTCTGCAACACAGTGGTTAGACCATATACCTGAGAAGTGGCAGATCTCCATTCAAATCTCTTCTCCTCACCAGGCAAATGTGGGGACTTAAACCAAGGGGTCTCCCACATCCCAGATGAGTACTCTAAACACTGGGTAACTGTAATAATGGGGAGGGCTTTCTCTGCCACTCCCCATATGTTTTGTGTGGAATTACAGGGCTTCTGAGCCTACCGGATCGGGCCCTGCATCTGAGTTAGGCAGAGGAGCGCCTATCTTTCCCTGGTTTGTGGATCACTTTGGGGTTTAGGTAGAAGAGAAGCACCCAGGCACCTAGAGTGAGGCAGCAATGCACATGCTCAGAGGCAGGAACATAGGCACATAGGGAACTTTTACTGCAAAAACTTAGATGTCAAGTAAGTTTAGGCATGTACAGGGTTAGGTGGGAGCTGAGCAGAAGTTTTGTGGGAGCTGAGCAGAAGTGGTGTCGAAAACAGGACTTGGGCACCTAAGTGTGGAACCAGGCTAAGAGCTTCCAGTTCTTTAACTGGCATGTGCGCTAGGGACCGATGCCAACACAGGAGAAGCAAAAAAAAAAGAGAACTCCACTGACTCACTATTTCCTAAAGTCAGTTGAAGTTCAGTGTTTTGAGGCTGAAAACTGGAAGCCATTTTGGGCTATAAGAATATTGGACTGCTACATTGTACAAATTACGTAAACCATCTAACACATCTTTGCTTTAATACTGGTAGCCAAAACAGAAAATCAAGTACACAATCCCATGCAATTTCAGGAGACAGTTTCCAGTGTAAGGAAATCAGTGCCTACTGTTTCTTGGAGATTCAGGGGTGGGAGAGAAAGAACCCAAAAACTACCACACCAAACACCTCAAAACTCTCTGCTCTTGGTTATACTCATGCAAACCCACTGACTTCAATGCACAGATGTGTCAGAAGGCAGAATTTAACCCAGTGAATACTCTCTGTTATTCAAAGTCTCACCTGACTTACACAGATGCAACCATATTGACTTTAGATGAAAGTCTGGCTTTTTAAACTTGACAGTTACTGCATAATATGGGTATATTTAGAGCTCTGTCGTCGTGACAAATTATTTCAGTTGCGTAAAGCGAGAAAATGGTTTCTACATAAACCCTAAAAAGAACAGGAGTACTTGTGGCACCTTAGAGACTAACAAATTTATTAGAGCATAAGCTTTCGTGGGCTACTGCCCACTTCTTCGG